CTGCCCCTGCTCTCAGGTTTTCCAGCCGCCTGGGCCTGGAGTCCAGCATGACGCTGGTTTGCCCAGGAATCCTTCTCGCCCCTCTGCCCAAGTCCCTCTAGGTCCCCAGGGATCGGAAGTTCCACCCCTGGGCGTGCCCTTGGCTGCACTCAGCCCCTGCGGACACCCCCCAGGGCGGACCTCCGACCCTGCAGGCGCCCGCCTGCCCACCCCCGGGGCTTCCTGGCCGGCTGCACGGCTCCTCTGACCTGGAAGCCTTCCTTCCCGTGCCCAGGGCGCCCTCTTCTGCAGGCCTGGCTGGTTCCGCTGTCTCCCTAGTGGCTCAGGGGCTGGCGCTTGGGCCTTCTTTCCCTCTGGTGGTGCAGACGCCAGCCCTGTGACACCTGAGCCTGGCCCCCCAGGCTCTTCCTTTCATCTAGGTCCCTTATGGAGACTTAGACCCCTGGAAACCTGGGTCAGCCTAAGCCACGTGCCGTGGTCCCCCACAGCCACATGGTGGGTTCCTGGCTCCAGGCTATATGTCACCTGTCCACACCTGTCCAGTGCTCACGCCCTCTTGGCCATAGGTCCGCCGGCACCTCACCACCTGTGGGCTGTTTTCCCTTCTGATGTACGCAGGAGCCCTCTGAGGCCCAGCTGGATTGGGGTCTCCGTGCTGACCCCAGCCAGACACACAGCGCACTGCTGTGTCAGAAATGACCTATGACCCCCCTCAGTGACCCCACCTGCCACTCATCAGACCTGTGTCTCCTGCCTGGACCTTTACAAAGCAGGGGGAAGTGACAAGGGACATGTCCATAATAAACAGGGCGGGTTGACGGTGACTGGAGGCCGGTTGGCGATGTGGTCTAGTCCATGAGTCCTGGGTGAAATTGGAGCACCAGACACCAAGGACAGAGCTGTGAGCTCAAGGTCCCTGTCCTGGGGTAAAACAGTCACGGTGGCGGGTGTGACTGGGGTCTGCACCTGGCGGTGGGCTCATGACGGCATCGGGAACAGGACTCTTCTCCCTTCACCTGTGCTGTCAGTGGCTTGGTCCTGGGCACACAGCTGGGTGCACTGCCAGGTTGGTAGAAACAGGACTCGTCATCAGGAACTGGCATGTCTGGTGACTTTCTGGTGTCCACCGTCTTACGGGCCAGCCTGCAGACACTGGAGGCTGGGCTCTTGGGAGCCACCCGGCCTCCTCCCATCCTGCACCTGCTGTCCTGCCAGTTCTGTGACGGCCTCACAGGGAGGCCTGGGGACGAGAGCAGAAGGAGAGAGCTCCGGGGCAGCCGGCTGGCCTCTGGCTGGACCCTCTCATTGCCTTCAGAGCCTCTTGGGTCTAATTTCCTTTCCTGAAAAACCAGGCCCCGGAGAGGCCGGGGTGGAAAGCGTGCCCCACAGACCAGACCCCGTGTGCTGCCCGTTTTTAAACCATGCTCGAGCTAAGAGTGGTTTTGACATTTTTTTTAATGATTGGGGGAAGAATCTCTCATAACCTGTGAAAATTACATGAAATTCAAATTTCAATGTCCACAAATCCACTCTGTTTTTGTTTTTTCACGAACTAAGTTTGGTTGGCCCTCAGCCACAGCTGTGCGTCTGTGCGTTCCCTCTGGTTGCTTTTGGCTCTGGTGACTGTTGTGGCCTCAAAGCGGCAAGTATTTTCTGTCTTATACAGAAAAAGTTTGCCAACCTGTTCTAGAAAACCTGGCTCCCGGGTTCTCTCCTGGCACCTGCGTCCACAGGTGTCCAGTCGCAGCTGCTATTTCTTGAGTTCTTCGTGACCCGCCACCTCCCGCAGGCAGTGCGCCTGTTCTCTGTGTCCTGCTCAGTGAGAGGTTCGGATTCCCAGGAAGGACTGGCCCCAGGGGGAGAGAGGCTGCTGGCTTGGGCACGGGACCCTGATTGAGGGCTCCCCTCCTCCTGCTGAGGGATCTGGGGAGTCCTGATCCCGGCTGTTTGTGCAGATGTGCTGCAGCTGGTCAAGAGCTGCTGAAAACTGTCATCAGAAGGCCAGCGGGGGTGGGGGGGAGGGGGGCTGGGCATGGCCCAGTGGGGCACATGCTGGTTCCAACCCCAGCACCAGAAAAAAAAAACGCAGGAGGGGTCCTTTCTCCTCCCCAGTGTGTTGGAGCGGCCTGTGGGCCTCATGCCAGGGGGCTCTGTGTCCTTGTGCAGAGGGTGCCGTGGGTGCAGCTTCCACCAATCACAGGGCGTTTCCTAGGGAAGCCCTCCCAGAGCCCCGCCTCCCTGGCTGGGGTGCTGGGGTGGGCCTGAGCCACCCCAGGAGAGCTCTGCCTCCTCCCACTTTTTGGGCAACTTGAGAGTGGGGAGGAAGGGTGGCGAGTGAGGGAGCAGTGCCAGCCTGGCCGTCACCCTCTTCCTCTGAGGTCCTTTGCGGGTTCCTCAGCTGTGGGTTTTGGCCCCAGCCTCCCAGCTGGCCTCTGCACAGTGTTGGGGTTGCCTCTGCGATCCTTCCTGTGGGAGCAAAACAGAAGCAAGGACCCAGACTGTAGACCAAGGCCACACCACTTACCCTTTCCTGCTCCCGAGCGGCTCAGAGAGTTCAGGGCAGGGGCTGGTGCAGCCTTAGCTCCGCCCTCCGGGCGAGGCCTATCTGGACACCTGGCGGCTCACCCAGCCCCTGGGGAGTAGATGGCTGCAGGTCTGAGCTGGTCACGCCTCTTTGTTGCCTGGTGACTCAGTTACATGTGGAGAAACCAAGGTCCATGGGGTGCGAGGACTTGCCCAAGGACACTGAGTGCCATGGGCAGGGCTGGAGGGTCACTCATTGGCCCAGCAGTTTTGTCTTTGCTGTCCATCCGCAGAAAACCCGTCTTTTCAGCGGGTCATTTACAGTCTGCCTTGTGCTTCTGCCCTGCAAACGTCGCCTTAGCTTTGCCACGAGCAGGAGGCGTGACCGTTCTGCAGCCTGCTGAGGCCCTCCTGACCCGGGCTCGCTCTGCTTCGTCCATCCTGTCCTGGGCGCTTGGCTGCTGCCAGCTCCGCAGTGCCCATCCTGCCCACCCATCTGTTGCTTCAGTCCCTTAAGGTGTCTCGCACTGGCCAGTGGCCCCTGTGGCTTTCATCACAGCTGCTTGTACCAAGTGTCAACTCTCCAAGGAAAAGCTTAGTGTCCCCATCTCAGTGCACAGGGAGGAAGCATCCTGGGCCACAGGCTGGACCAAGAACCCAGAGGCCCTTGCTGAGGGGAGGTGGGCTCCCAGTGCAAGGGGACTGGCCCAGGCCTGCAGTCGCCCAGCCTGTCAGAGTTCTGTGTGTTGACGGTGGCCCCGGGGCCCGTTGCACCTGCGGCAGGTGTTGCTAACGGAGCCCAGGGCTCCTTCCTGCAGAGCCCACCTGGTCTGGGTGCACCCCATGCCATCCAGGCAGCCCTGCCTGTTGACAGCAGTGACGGGGACGAGGCCTGGTCTAGTGCAGTATCCACCCAAGTCTGGGAGGCTGTGGGGGCCCAGAGCTGGCCCTGTCGCTGCTCCACCTGCCGGGGATGTGGCTTTGGGATGAAAGCGCCATTTGTCCAGCACCCCCTGTGCCGTAGCACCCGGCGTTCTGTGGTACCTGCTGAGGGGCAGGGGAGCCGTAGCTTCTGGAGTTGGAGCTGCCTCCTTTGGGCTGCTCAGGCCCTGCTCCCCGGGGTGCGGCCTCAGACCCTGACCCCTGATCCCATAGGTGATCAATGTGGACGGGACCGAGAGGCGGACCCTCCTGGAAGACAAGCTCCCACACATCTTCGGGTTCACGCTGCTGGGGGACTTCATCTACTGGACCGACTGGCAGCGGCGCAGCATTGAGCGGGTGCACAAGGTCAAGGCCAGCCGCGATGTCATCATCGACCAGCTGCCCGACCTGATGGGACTCAAAGCTGTGAATGTGGCCAAGGTCATTGGTGAGTCTGGGAGGCCCCAGCCACTGCTCTGCTGGGCTGGACGGCTCGAGCAGGTCCAGATGGGAAGTACCCGGCGGGAGCACCCCACTCGGGAGCGGAACTAGCAAGCGTCTGGTTCAGGACAGAGGGCGTGGATGTGTCTTCCCAGGGAGATGGCTGGGGAGTGGTGAAGGACCAGGAGTGTTGGCAGCCAGTGGGTGCCCCCGGGCCGAGGTCCTTGGTACCCCCAGCAGCCTGGATGCTTGTCTTGGTGACTGGGGAGAGGCTGGCAAGGCCACACAGCCATGGTGGCCAAGCCCAGAACTCACCTGGTCTGTTGTGGGGCTGAATGGTGACCATTGTCACTGTGACCAGGCTGGACCACAGACACCTGACCCTACCTGAAAGCCAGAGCCAGCAGAGAGTTCAGTCAGGATTTATCTCCTTCCAAAAGGATTTCAAGTACAGGTGGGCGAGTCACCTTGGAGAAGAGAGTCCAGGTGGTGGGTGGGGGCTGTAGGCTCCTCGGGCAGAGGCTGGGCTCCTGGCTGGTGCCTGTGCCATGGCTGGGTGTCGGCTGCACTCAGGAAACGTGTATCAGCTGGGCCAGTGCGAGAAGAGCGAGAGCCCGGTGCCAGGTGGAGTCTCCTATAGCCTGGTGCCAGGCGCCCCCAGCTAGCCCTCCTTGCCATGGGGAGCTGCAGCTGTGGTATGAGGGGCATCTGGCTTTACAATAGGAAGGGGGCCTGGGGGTGTGGCTTAGTGGCCGAGCACTTGCCCAGCCTGGGAGGGGCCCGCGTCCCACCCCTGGCACTACCAATAAACAGAAAGCAAACAAGAGAGGTGACCGAGCTTGGCGGGGGGCAGGAGTCAGGCAGGGTTCTGGGCAGAAGGACAGTGGGCAGATACCTGGTGGGTAGGTGCCTAGGGACCTCAGTGGCAGCCTGCTTCCTCTCCCTGGGGACCAACCTTTATCACACCTGAGGTCCTGAGGCAAAGGCCTGCAGTGGACAGGTTGAGTTTTACCAGCCACCTTTGAAAAGGGCCTTACCCACTGTGGAGGGTGGGGCCCGCCAGCAGGTGACAGTTCAAAAACAAAACCTGGAACCCTGGAGACCAGAAGGCCCCCGGGCTGCCTGTGTAGCTGGGCCTGGGCCTCCCCTCTGTCTCTTGAGTCTTGTGACTTCCCCAGAGGCAGGCGGGAGAGGTTCTTTTTTCAGCTTCAATACTGAGCACAAAATTAAAACCAACTTGCTCCTAACTGGCTGGCCCAGAGCGGCCACTTAATGACCGGGTCTGCTTAATGAAGGCCAGGCACCTTGGCTATCCTGTTGAGTCTGAGCTTTGGAGTTCGCCGGGGTGTCAAAGGGCCGGGGCGCTGTCTGGGAGACTCTCCAAGCCTGTCCTGGTAGCCGGCCAGGGGTCGAGGCCTGGGGAGGGCCGCTTGGTGGAATCAAGTGTCCCCTGCTGGCTGGGCTCCACCGGGGCTCACTGAGCTGCTCCCTGACTTCCTGGCACGCTGCCCTCAAGGCCTCTCTGCCTCAGTCTCCTCCGCTGAAGGACAGGGTGGGAAGGCCTCCTGTTCTGCCGTTGATGGAGTGAGTCAGAGCAGGTGCTGCCCTGGGCAGGGCCCTGTTGTTACTTTTCCCCTCTGTGTGACCACGTGGGAGAGAACTCTGACTGCTGTTCTCCAGGGCTTTCCTCCACCCCCTCCCACTGTCCGCGCGGGGCGTGTGGTGGGAACCAAGCCTGGTGCGGCCGTGCAGGGAGCGTGTCCCTCTCTGTGCCAGGCCACAGCCGTCTAGAGCCTGCGCTTCCCTCCAGGAACCAACCCGTGTGCTGAGGGCAACGGCGGGTGCAGCCACCTGTGCTTCTTCACACCCCGGGCCACCAAGTGCGGCTGCCCCATCGGCCTGGAGCTCCTGAGTGACATGAGGACCTGCATTGTCCCCGAGGCCTTCCTGGTGTTCACCAGCAGAGCCGCCATCCACAGGATCTCGCTGGAGACCAACAACAACGACGTGGCCATCCCGCTCGCGGGCGTCAAGGAGGCCTCCGCGCTGGACTTCGACGTGTCCAACAACCACATCTACTGGACGGATGTCAGTCTGAAGGTACTGAGTGCCAGACCCGCGCCTGCAGCGGCTGGCGGCTGGGCTTTTGCCCCCGACCTCCGCCTCCCCCGGGTCGTTTATTTTAGAAAGCCACCCCGCCGTTTCCCAGAGCCTTGCCCGTGGGCTCTGGAGCGCGTCTGTGAATGAGGGTGTGTACGTCAACCTCAGCCCTGCCTGCTCCTGACCCGACCCTCTCTGCACGTGACTCCTCACTCACAAGGCAGGTGTCAGCATCCTGGGTCACGCTGGGAAAGGCCTTCTCGATCCCCAAAGCAGGTGTGGCACACTGGCCCCCCCCACTCACAGCTGGTGCTGCCTGCAGTGGGGTCCTGGCTTTTGTACTTAGCATTATCACAGGTGCTTAATAAAGGGTGGGAGCTCTTTAATGTGATTTTTTTAAAGCATTTAAAGTATTTTTCTAGGCAGACACTTAGACATAACAAGATTTTCTCTCTCATGAAAGTTCCTATTGCCCTTTTTCTCACTCTAAATGGTCCCATGGTGAGGCCTTTTTTATTTTTTAATTTTTTTTTTAGAAATTGATGGATCTTTATTTTACTTATTTATTTAATGTGGTGCTGAGGATCGAACCCAGGGCCTCGCACATGCTAAGTGAGTGCTCTACCTCTGAGCCACAACCCGAGCCCTGTCTTGTGTTTTAATAGTTCCTTGGGATAAAGTTTTGGGAGGAAGATTACTGGGTAAAAGTGTGCAAGTGGTTGTAAGTCTGCGGTATGCATTTGAGGTGGGCTACTTGAAAAAAACATATACATATATATGTATATATACATATACATATAAGTTTATATTTTGCTGAATTTCAAAATGTTTAATTTTGAAAGTCTAGAGTATTGGTATTATGCTCTCAGATTTTGGTTCAATATTTATTCCAGGCAGTCAAGTAGCTCCTAGTTAGAGGTCTACAAGAGATGCTGGTGGGGCTGAGGGATGTGGCTCAAGTGGTAGCGCGCTCGCCTGGCATGCGTGCGGCCTGGGTTCGATCCTCAACACCACATACAAACAAAAGATGTTGTGCCTGCCGAAAACTGAAAAATAAATATTAAAAAAATTCTCTGTCTTTTTTTTAAAAAAAAAAAGAGAGAGAGGTGCTGGTCCCAAGTCAGGTACTGTGGCTGAGCTGCTTGGGAGGCTGAGGCAGGAGAATTGCAAGTTTGAGGTCAGTCTTGCAAATTACTGAGTCCCTGTCTCTAAAGGAAAAAGGAAAAGCTGGGTGCGGTGGCACTCGCCTTTAATCCCAGCAGCTCGGGAACCTGAGACAGGAGGAATGGGAGTTCAAAGCCAGCCTCAGCAATGGGGAGGCCCTAAGCAACTCAGTGAGACCCCTCCTCTAATAAAAGACAAAATTGGGCTGGGATGTGGCTCAGTGGTTGTGTGCCCCTGGGTTCAACCCCTGGTGCCTGCCCCCCCACAAAAAGACGTGGTTCTTAAATTGTGGCTCTTTTCGTCCCGCCTGCCCAGACCATCAGCCGCGCCTTCATGAATGGCAGCTCCGTGGAGCATGTGATCGAGTTTGGCCTCGACTACCCGGAAGGCATGGCTGTCGACTGGATGGGCAAGAACCTCTATTGGGCTGACACCGGGACCAACCGGATTGAAGTCGCCCGGCTGGACGGGCAGTTCCGGCAGGTCCTCGTGTGGAGGGACTTGGACAACCCTAGGTCTCTGGCCCTGGATCCCACCAAGGGGTAAGGCTGCTCTCTTCCCCCGTGCGTGTCCCGTTCCCGCGTGGCCATGCCGGCAGGGCTGAAGTTCTGGCTGCCGCCCGGGACTCTGCAGCTGGAGTTGCACTGTCCACCTCGAAGGTGCCAGGGCGGGCAGCGCCTTGGAGGTTGTCTAGTTATTCCCAGAGGGTGAGGGTGTGACGGCAGCTGCTGTGGGGCACTGTGATGGCTGCTTTCACCTGGGTCCTCTCAGTGTCCGGGGAGGTAGGGAAGTTCGGGACAAAGAGAAAGAAGTTCAGATTTTGGCCAGCAGGCAGCTGGAACTTCCAAAATTCTGGATGGGGGCATGAGCTTGCTTTTCCCGGTGCTCTGGAGAGGAGAGAGGGGAGGGCCTGCCGCCAGGGCCCTCCTGTCTGAGGAGGGGCTGTCCACCTGCTTCACTGTGTCCGTCCTGGTTCACACAGTGTCCTGGCCAGCTTAGTATGGGACCCCGCCCCTGGACCCCAGCTTGGGGCCCGTTATATGTGTGCTTTTTCTGCCACCTGTTTCTGTGGCCGTGGACGGGCGTCAGCTGGCTGACGGGTGGGCTGTGTTGGGGACTCGGGGAGGGAGCCCTGTGGAGCCTGTTGGGGGTCAGGGCTGCAGCGTGGCCAGGGTCTTCCCCGTCCTGTGTCCTTCACGTTCCTGATGTGGCTTTCTCCCAGGAAGGGGGACCCAGCTGAGGAATGGTGGTGGTAGGGTCCCCTGTCGCCGTCTACCACGGGCTGAGTGTGGACTCACTTCCCGCCCGCCACTGCCTTCCAGCTACATCTACTGGACCGAGTGGGGCGGCAAGCCCAGGATTGTGCGGGCCTTCATGGACGGGACCAATGGCATGACGCTGGTGGACAAGGTGGGCCGGGCCAACGACCTCACCATCGACTACGCAGACCAGCGTCTCTACTGGACAGACCTGGACACCAACATGATCGAGTCGTCCAACATGCTGGGTGAGGGCCGGTGGGCTCGGGGGGATCGGGGCAGGGCAGCAGGGCGTAGACCTCCTCTCGCCCCCTCCACAGTGGCCCGAGCAGCCATGAGATCTCAGCTACCTCACCCTCTGCTGGGGGGCTGTCCCTGTCCAGCCCCTGCTGCCCTTGCTATGGGTCTGTGGCGATAGGCCCTGGGGACGTCTCTTTCCTGTGCATCTGGTGGGTGCCAGGTCCCAGCCCTGCCATGTACCAGGACTGTCCACCTCACGACAGAGGTTTTCATTGATGGGGAAACTGAGGCGCAGGGAGGGTACATGACTTGCCAGAGGTCGCAGAGCTAGGGAGCCACTTAGACCTCAGGGCTATTGCTCGGACTCTGCCCAGCCCTGAGCACCTGCCCTGAGCTGGGAGACGGGCAGGGCCGTTCTCAGGCTCCCGGCACTGGGTGGGGATGCCACCTCCTTTTCACAGATGGTAGAAATGAAGCCTGGGGAAGTTTAAAGGGTCTCCGGTCAGCCAGCTCTAGGGGCAGGATCTGAACCCAGGACAAGGGACTCTGGACTCCACTCATGGTGGGCTGCTGGGCCAGTCACCTTGCATCGCTGTGACCAAGATACCTGACAAGAGCTACGTGAAGGAGGGAAGGGGTGTTTTGGCCCCTGGTTTCAGAGGTTCAGTCCCTGACTGGCCGACCCCACTGCCCTGAGCCCAGGGCGGGGCCGAGGGGTGCTGCTCCCTCTTGGCAGCCAGGAAGCCTGGCAGGAAGATGCTCCCTTCCAGGGCGTGCCGGTGACTGCCGCCCCCAGCCACGCCCCCGCCTGCAGTGACACCCAGCTGGTTCCCCCAGACGCTCTCACATCCAGTCCCTTTACCCCTGAGCACCCCTGCGTTGACACAGGAGCTTCTGTGGCAGGTGGTTGTATGAGCCGCCAGGCGAAAAGCAAAGTGAGAGTGAGGGACAGGAGCAGCAGCCTGGAGGGCCACGTCTGGTTCCCAGGTGACCCGCAGCTTTGGGGCAGACAGGAGGAGCGTGGGGTCGAGCTGCAGTGGGCCGGCCACCTGGACGGACCTGGCAGAGGGGCCTTCAGTGGCCCTGACTGGCAGATTGTGAGCTGGGCTTCTGAGTCACCAGTTTCGTGGAACCCTGCAAGGACGTGGCTTGCTTCCTAACCACGGCCACTACCATGTGCAGGTGAGGTGGCCGTGCCCGTCTTACAGATGAGGAAGCTGAGGCCCAGGCACTCTGCAGGCGGCTGGAGGCACACAGTGCTGGTGTCTGCTGGGGCAGGGCGAGTTGCACACCCTGTGGGTGCTGACTGTCCTGGGGTCTGAGCCTGGGGGTGAGGCTTGACTGTGCGACTGTCACCCCATTCCCAGGAGAATCATAGCCACGTGTGTTTGTGTCTTTACCCAAACCTGGAGCCTGATAGTGTCCAGTCGCAGTGCGGCACAGTGGCCCAAGGTGACCGAGAGCGTGACTC